CCTTTTGGCTCTGGGTACAAAGACAACCTGCAGAGCATCCCCTCAAGAAAGGTTCCTCTGTTCTCTGCAAACACATAGTTTTCCAGGAAAGCACCAAATTTTTGGGATTCCTGGCATGTGTTTTCTGTTTGTTCACACCAATGCTCCTGACAGGTCCGACGTGCCTGCGAGCTCAGTGCTTTACTGCTGTGTTCTGGGGAGGCAAGCAGTGCACGAAATCTTGGAGGATGCACTCGGAGCCCCTGCAAGCAGCTACGAGGCTCTGCTGCTCTCTGCTGGGAAATGCAGGCAGAGCTCTAGCAAGAGCTGGATTCGCCAGCTTGCTCTGGCTTGGTCCCCGCACACACCCGAACAGAGGCACTGCATGAAAACAGACAATTTGGTGCAATCTCTCTCGAAGCATCGCTGTCAGCTCCGGGCCCACATCAAGGGCTGTCGGTGTAAGTCAGCACCCCCTGCCTGCCTCTCTTCCCTCACATCCCAGCCCTTCCCACCTCATTTGGGAGCTAGCTTTCTCCACGATGCTCTGCTGCACTTACAACCACTGCCCTGCCAGCTTATAAATAATTTAATTTCTCAGCAGCCCCCTGGACAGACCGCCGAGCAATTACAAATGCGTGGGACAAGTCTCAGGTCAGTGTGTGGATAAGCACAGACTCCTGCCACCACCCCATCCCTCTCTGCAGCCTGCTTTTCTTAATGATTGGTCCATGCCACAATGCTGCCCTTTGCTCTCCAGGCCTCAGGAAGGCTTTAACTATGCCCAGCTGCAACTGTGCAAAACCACAGGTCAGAGAGCCTCAGGAGCCACAGCGGATGGGGAGCCACGAGGCCATGGCCTCAGGTGTCAGCTGGGTTGCAACAACCTCATAGACAGCTTAGCAGGTGAGCTCGCTGCCCTGTCCAGCAATCTCTGCCAAAAAACAGCTCTCACACCCAGGAGGGGGATGGATCCCACAGCCTGGCACTGGCCAGGGTCCTCTGTGTCTTTAAGCAAAGCCATGTAATTTTCTGATGCGTTTCGTCTGTGTGCATCCTATTATGATTGTCAAGTACCAGATAAAGAGGCAGGAGTTTAGGACATGCATTTTCAGGCTTTGGCTTATTTATTTATTTATTTACAGCGCAATAAAATAAGAAGAAATATTCAAAGTGAAGAGACTGTGAAAAGTGATTTGTTCCAACTCTTCACTGCAGACTTGCAAGAAACCAATCAGAGGGGCTCAGGAGTGGTTTGACCGTAATTTATTAACCCAAAAGGGGCCGCATTGTTAACCAACATTATTTATAGTGAACAGCTCAACCATCTCTACTGAACAACTGTGTGATACTGCAGGGACAAATGCAATGAGTTACTACACAGATAGGACAAAACCAGCAGCAGATCTTTGTTACAGCTGTTAGAAAAAGTGTCCCCAGGAGACAGACACTGAATCTCTAATGGCTATCTTATTTCTCTGACAATTTATTTAAGTTTTAACTTAACAGCAGGAATGATAGCCACAGTTACACAGTGACTCCCAATAAAAGAGCGTGTTGCTGATCTGCAGCTGGTGTTTTCTTATTTATTTGAAAGTCTTTAAGTTCCAGACTTAGCATATGGTGCCATATAAATAATGATATAATAATACGGTTTTGCTTTCCATGTGCCGGGATAGAAAAAAGCTGTGTGATTTATGTTACATGAGCATTGTATTTAAGGCTTTATTTTACTCAGAATTTTAATGTATTTAAAATGCATCTTCTGTTTTTTTGTAATCTCTTCTTTTGAAATAATAAGCAGAGCAGTGATGTTTATTTAATGGAGTCATTCATCTTACTTCCTTGTACAAAATCCTAGCTTTCCACCCCCAGCAGCCAGTTCCCTGCAGTAGACAGTGGGGTTGGAAATGGAAAGATATGCTGTTTACCAATGAGGCACAGATGAAAGGAAGACATGGGGCTTGAGATTTGCCCACAGCAGGACTCTATCTGAAGCCAGCAGGCAGCTGAGAACAGCTCAGTCCTGTCCAGTAAAGGATGGAGAGGAGAAACTCATGGGAGAAGTTCTGCAGGGAGTCATGTTGTGGAGAAAACAGCACTGTGAGGCTCAGCACACAACTGAAAGCAGGTGCCTACTTCAGCTCAAACTGCAATTGCAGTTACTACAGCAAACACTGCCCCCCTGAAGTATGACGGGGATATAACAGTTTACTGCTTTCCTTTCAGACCCTCAGTAAACTAGTTCTGTGAGCATTACAGCACATATCTAGCTGAAGGGCAGGGAAGATCGCCTAACTCATGCCTCAACTGTTTCTGGGTTTCTGGACTCCTCTTTCTCGGACCAGTTGGCAAGAAGACCTTGTCTAGCAAAAATTCTTCATTGATACAAGGTTTGCAAACATACACAGATCACTGCAGAAAATAAACAAGCAACTAAACTGATTATTTCTCAGGGGTGTACACAACAAACTCGTGAATATCCTGCCTAGACGCTTAAGCCTGCTCCATTGCCTGACATCTCCTGGAGGAAAACTGACAGGGTCCACAAATCAAAGACTGACAATTCCTAACACCAGGCAGTATACAGAGCTTTTTCTCCCACCATACGAAGACAGGATAGTCAGCGGAGGTTGAAGAAGTTGGGCCCTGGAATCTCACCAAAAGTCCTTGCAGCCAACTGCCTAACATCAATTTTATCCATCACCTTTCAAGATCTTTCTAAGCCAACACATGAAAAATAAAACAAAATAAAACTAAAATAACAAATCAAGAATCAAAAAATTGGCAGTCCCATGTTGTCCAGTACTATAGCAATCGTGTGGACAAGTTGGGAAAGGCAAGACAGGCTCAAAGGAGTTGAGCAATGACCTGGCATCCCCTGAGAGCAGGCAGCAGCGCTCAAGTGCAAGAGGATCTGAGCAGTCAACATGCCAGCAGACATGGACAACAGTGTTACGAACCTTGTATGGGAGCAGTGGGGAAAGTGTTTCTTGTAGAAGGTCAACAGCTTAACCTGAAAAATACACACAAATTGAGCTGCTCTGAATCTAAGTGACATCTGTTAGTTTAGCACAGTTTTTGAAGTCCTGTGTTCCCCTTTCACGCTCCCCGCCTCAATGCCCATGGCAGTTTCAGCCACTCATGTTTCAATCCCAGCTCTTGTCACACTGGAGCATGAACCAGAGTATTTCAGAAGCCGGTTACTGTGGTAACCCAGCACTGCTTTTATCTTTTTTTCCTTTCATCTCCTCTTTGGGGGAAACTGGCAATCTGTTTATTTGCTTTTTTTTTTCTGAGGTAGCTCATCACACAGCACACTGTCAGGATTTGTGTAAAACTGAGAGGAGAAAGTACCTCTCACTTGAATGCATACACACACATTTCACTCACTGCTCTACTACCCTACCTCTTGCATCCTTGCTTCTTATTACAAGATATTTGCCATATCCTCCTACATTTGACCCTCTTTGTAGAGCATGCCTCTGCCCTTCCCTTCCAGACCTTCTCACTATAGTAGGGCCAGCAAGACAAAATAGTTATCATGTGCTTTGCTGCTTCCTTTACCAGAGCTTGGTGAAGTAGAGAGGCACCGTCAGGGCCTGTTTTGTCAAAATAGAACAGCTAATGGCACTGCATTTGCAGTGAAGCCACAAAGCTCCCAGTAAAACAAGAAGTCTACCTGCTCCATGACAGTCAGAGTGACATGCAACCCCCCCGCCATGTCCCCTCTCTCAGCCAAGTTATTCCTGCTTCCATAGTGCATGGGGCCAGCAGCTCCAGCCTTCCTGCCTCCCTTCACAGGCACAGTCCCCAAAAAGGGCTGGCTGGCTGCTGACACACACCGAGAGACTTCTCCAGGGGGATGAATAAAGCAGGGGAGGGGGCAGCCATTACAGGCTCCCTAAGCAGCAGTGCCCACCATGAGGCACAGCACCCACAGCCCACACATAACTTTAAACTGTGACAGGGCACGGCAGGACCAATATCAAGAGCAGGACCACGATCAGGGCCAGGACCAGGATTAGGACCAGGACCGGGGCCAGGGTCATAGCCAGGGCCACCCCACCTCCCCCAGCTCTTCCGCCCGAACCTAAGATGTCCGCACAGCATTGCCTAGAGACAGAGGGGTGGGACCCAACGGCAGTGCTTCCCTGGCAACCTCCCCAGCAACTTGCACATTCTCTGCCATTTTCTCCCCGCCATGGAGGACTGGCAGCTGGTGAGCATGGGTGGTGGCAGCAGAAAGGCCCTGGGACCGGACACCCCCCATCCCCGGATCCACATCCCAACCATCCCGTGACCCCTGCCATCCTCCCGACCCCCTGTCTGTCCCCTCTGGAGGGGCATCTCCCCCCGGTGTGGGGCAGAGCAGCCCTTTCTGTCGGGGTGTTCATGATGTCGGTGTGATTTCAAGGTGCCTGAGCTCAGTCACAGGGCTGGGAATGGGGATGTGGGGCACGGGCAGGGTGCGGTGCCCAGCCAGCTGCTGGGAGGTGGGTGAAGCCCTTGCAGGTTTTGTCTCTTTGCCATCAGGGAGCAAGAGCAGTGCTGAGCAGGATGAGTCTTGTTGTGCCAAGCTTCACCCTTAGCCAAGGTGCACAGCACATGGGCAGGGTGCTGGTAACAGGGCTCACCAGCAGGAGCTGCTCTGGGACCCAGCCAGGGACTTCCACGCAGGAGACAGGGACACAGACAAAGCCACCTGCAACACACATCTGGAGTCCCCCGAGGAAAACCAGTCAGTATGCAAGGACCAGGCATGGGAACACCCACAACATATCACAGATGAGGCGTGAAGGTTTGGGTCTGAGCTTAAATGGTGTTCCTGGGCTCATGGGCAGGGGCAGTGGGGGAGACCCATCTCAGAAATTAAAGCCTAGTGTTGCTTTCAGAGACCTAACACTTGCTCTAAGAGGGGATTCAGCATATTTTCAGAAGGATGAAGTAATTTGATGTATCTGGTCTGCAGGGCTACATATTTAAAACATTCTTTGTTATTTGTTAAATATTTTAGCAAGATGCCAGTGACCATTCCGAAACTGAAGTGAAGAAATCCAGCATACCATCAGTTGCTGAGCCATCAGAGGACCAGAGACCTATAGTTGAATTCCCACCATTACTGAATGACTTCCCACCACTCGAGACATTGTTGCCTGAACCCTCACAGGCTGGGCTATCAGCACCTGTAGTCAATCCAACATATGAAATATCAGAGCAGCCAATGGTGTATGAAGACCCCTGTGAAGTCTCTGTTAAGTACATGGAGAAACATAATATTCAGCAGATATTAGAGGTGATATTTCTCTTTCCCTTCTCTGTCCAAAGGCTTGCTTGTGAAGCTGGGCTTAAAGTTAGCTTGGATCAAATTGTCCTTTCCTCTGGATCCCTCCTGGTCTTGAGCTTTCTTCAGTGTAAACTTAAAAGCAGTAGAAAGGGACACTTGCTCATCCTCAGGGATTGAAAGACAGGGTTGCTTTTTAAAATGCAGCTAGTGTTGGAGAAGAAAGTGCTGCCACGTGTCTTCCCAAGGATCAATACTTCTTTCCTTCTGTCTGTCTCTGTCTTAGGAGATCATACTAAAACTGCTGTACGAGAAGCCTGATGACCCCTTGCAGTTCATATTGCTGCAGGTATGGTGTCCTGATGTTGCTCAGCAGGGACTGCCTCTTAGATCCAGAACAGAAAGCCAGCTTTGCTGAGCATGCTGCAAACATGGTGAACTCATGACTTGTTCTCTCACTTTGTGCCTGCTCAGATGGGAGGAGGAGGAGGACAGGGCAGGAGCGGAATGCCCATGGTACAAGTGCTCACATGTGCCCTTAAGGGAGAGGGAAGAGAGGTACATGAGGGTGGGTGTGTGAAAAAGCATGATGTGAGGGAGAGAATAGGGTGGATGTGCCCTCCAAAAACATTATCTGACAGGTAAGGGAAGCTTGGGGAGAAAGTCAGGGCTGATTTGTGTCCCTGTGATCTGTCTATAGCTCCCTCTGTTCCACACTGGGAGCAAACACTTTTCCTGCCAGGTACCCCTATTCAGGTGAGTTGTGTCTGCTGATCCTGAATGATTTTAAAACAGAAAATTCGGTCTGTTGAGAGAGAAAGTTAATTAGAAGTTGGAGTTAGAAACATTTGGAGCTCTCTGGGGAAAGGAGTAGCTCAGAGGAAAAGGAGCAGAAAGGGAGAGGGTTCTTTCCCTCCCTACCATCTAGTCAGTAAGGGGAAGCACCACTTCTGGGCACTGTTGGCAGGGCAATAGGTTCCCAAATGACTCTTTTCCTTTTCCTTTTTCCCAGGTGCAGTCTATGATAAATGCCCAGCAGGCAGAAACGGAGGGAATATTGGATGAGAGCAAAGATAGAGAGGAGTTTCTGGAATAAATCTGTGCACTCCTTTGGGCCCCTACTGACCTTGCTATTGTGGTGTTCCATGTGGCCTTCGCAGCATCCTGCTTTTGCAACCAGTGAAAGTAACTTTGGAAATGTCTGCTAGTATCTCTGTTTCTTGATTTTTCATGTGATTGTGCTTCCCCTTTAGTATAAATCCTGCAATCTAGTGTCTTTATGGACACAAACTCAAATCTGAAAGTGCATGAGCCTGCATGCACATATGGCACATTTTGAAAAGGCTGTTCTCATGAAATCTTGTATGGTCTATCCACAGCTCCCACGTGTAGGCCACCACTAAATTAGACTTTTCTGTGCAGAGAAACCTCACAGCACAGACAATACAAGTGCAAAAGCAAGTAGAATTAAAAAGCAGCCCTGGACAACCCACAGTCCTCACTTTTTCATGCTGCACTGGTGGCTTACTGTCTCAAACTATGCAGTATCACCAATGCCCATCTAACACTTTGAAGTCTGTGCTGGGAGAGGCTCAGCCAGTGTTTTTTCTGCTGTCTCAAAGCTCCTCTGATGCAAAGAGCCATCTCTTTGTTGCTTCCACACACTGTCAGTAGCTCACTCTTAACTATCCCTGCTGGGTTCAGATCACTCTGTTTTTGGTGCTGCCCTGCCTGTATCATTGCAAGTACAGTGTGTATTTTGATTAAAAGAACAGTAAAGCAACAGTTGCCTGCACGCTCTGTGGCTTCAGAAGGCACTGTCACTCGGGAATGTGAGAGGTGAATAAAACTAAACAAACCAAAGACACGCACTGGTAGCACAGGAACTTCAGAGTTAAGATACACTTTGCAAACATGTCATTTGAACTGCTTTTAATTCTCAAAACACTTGCAATGCTCATTTTCATACTTTCCAAGTGTCTGTTTTCACCCTCCAAAGGACGTTTGTATTTCTTGTCTCTTGTCTGAAGATTATTGAAAATGTGCAATAGACCATACTGTTATTTTGGCATCACTTCATGTGTATGTGCAGTAGGTGCCAGAAAGCTTTTTGTCACTACAGACTTTTCTCTTTTTTAGGCAAGTGCTCTAATTTCATGATGGATAGTAGCATGTTCCCAAATGTCTGTCTCTGACTATGAAGAGAGCACCACTGAAACTTATCTTCCATCTATCTATTTGCAGCTAAAAGTCTGATGATTAGGTTGTGTGATACTCCACAGCAGAGCCTGGGCCCGAAAAGTTTGGGAATAACAGAGGCAAGTATTTGGCATACAAATTCTGCATCTGAGAAGAGATGCCTTTCTAAGACTCAAAAAAGATGAGTTAACTCCTGTGTTTCCAGGTTAAAGGCAGGAAGCACCCCTGTCATTCACAGATCACACAGGTTTTTAAGGTACTATGCTCCCAAAGATAGCTAAAGATAAGATAACTTTTCATGGGTTTTGTAAGAGTTATGATGTGGTCTTAGGTGTCTAGGTCCCACTGAAGCACTGAAGCACTTTTGAAAGCCCCGCTTATTTTCAACATCTAGATGAATTGGGTTGCTTTTCAGGCTCATATATTTTTGATCAAGAATTTGTAAGGGAAGTGCTAAAGCACCTCTGTGAAACAGGTAATGAGTGGAAGATAATCAACATCACACGAAGTTAGTGTCTAAGGCTTTCCAATCTCTATGGTCACTTGTCAGCACATTTTCCAGGAGACAGAGGGGTTGGCATGTCATTGAATTTTATTGTGTAACAGAACTAAGGTACTTTTGGGTACGGCCATAGCTGTGAATTTCCTAGGTTTCTATCATTTGTATTTTGTTATTCTGTTTTACTTATGAAAAATTTGTGAGTTGTGATGTTATCAGGCTATAGACGTGTGCCCTCAACTTTGTGTCAGCTTCAAGAGTGTTATGGAAGGAAAGTTCCTTAATTTCTCTTTCAGACAAATTGAAAAGAGCTGGAAAGTATTCCTCCTATAGGTGCTGGAAGTTTTGCAAGAAAGGCTCTACACAGTGTTCCTCAGCAATCTCAGGGCCAAAATTTTCGTTTCATGCATTGAAGACAAGGAGAAAAGTTAGATTTAAAATGGAAACATTTATTACAGCATTAATTCCAGAGTGACTCTCCCTTTTCCATACATTCTTTCCCAAACTTTTGGATCCTTGTTTCTTCTTCATAAGTGGACATTTATCACCATGGCATTAAACTGTCATTAATTTTTTTGCCTTGGGTGCTCTGAAGGAATTAACAGTTCATTGTGTGTAACCGAAACTACTCCATATAAGTCCTTGTGGCATGCTAGTCACTGTATATTTGAATGCCCTCCAGTTGTGTGCTAAGCAACGTGACTAACATCTGCTGTTTGTTTTCTCCTCTGCACAAGGGAGAATGAACTGACGTGCATTCTTATAAAAAGGGTGTTTTGTGTTGTGTTTTTTTTTTTACCCACACCTGCGTATTGCTTTGTGTTTCCAATGGATAAGGGTAAGTCACAGAGTGGAAGGTGGGGAGGCTAGAAATAGTTTCTAATTCCCAAGAGTGCTTACTCTATAGTTCAAGACGGAGAGTGAGCAAGCACAGTATTTTCACAGATGAGAACTGCTGTTGATCCATGAACAGACGCAGAAGCACGACGTCCAGTTTGGCTTACGAATCACATGGTCTTGTGGTGCACAGAGCATTTCTGTTGTGAATCTTGGGGCTAATCAGACAGAGATCGTACACACCTTGGGATAGGTGTCATGGATCAAAAGGACAGATCCTTTTTCTGCCATCTCTGTATGGAACTTAAAAGAACTGAGGTGCCCAGGTAATACTAAAGTTGCCAGTGTAGCGCCTCGAAGCAATTAAAAAAAAAAAAAAGTGTTGTAACTGCTGATTAAAGATCTTTTGAAAAGTTAACCTGTCTCTGCTCTACTTCTTAGGTGGAGGGCACAAGAATGACAGCTCTTCAATGGCATGCCACTTATAGCATGAGACATTTCATTGTGACTCACTGGGTATGAATCATGGCTACATAACACCAATTTTAAGCTAGTTTAATGCCATTGATTTTGAAGTTTCACAATTATGTGAAACTTGAAGTAGGCAGCAGCAAATGTTCAGAGAACTGTGTGTCTGAAATGGAAGAAATTAACCTCTAGGTAAACTCTAATAAAGAGCTTAGCTCAGAAGACAACTCAGTCTGAAGACCGGGGACTATGGGAGTGCTTAGGAAGGGAATATACCAGGGCAAACTGATCATACCCTCTCTGACATGCCTTCAGGTTGTATTCAAGAGAAAGTTTCTCCTGATCATTCTTATAGCCAAAAGAAATGCAGAAGAAAAAGAAGAAACATGCTGTTAAGGTCAGGCTTCAATATCTGTGGCTGCATTGCCTTTTGGGCATGTAGCCTTCATGGACAACATTGAGGTACCAACATCATCAAAAGTTTTTGGCCATACCTCAACGTATCACAAATGAAAAGGGAAACTGACTTGTTGAAGTGACATTGTCTGATGAACAGACACCTACCATCCTCTCCTGGGGAAAGGTGATGGGCTGGAATATCACTTCAGAATAGCAGAAGTTGGGCAAGGCAATCTCAGATTTCTATACTCGTAATTCAAGATCAGAAACTTACTGCAGACACTGCAGTGCTTGGTCTGTTTTTGAAATGCCTGGTGTGAAGGAATGGAATGGCTCTTTTTTCCCTCAGGGATATCATCCCAATTCCTTGTGCAGCTCCTGTCCCTGGTAGGAAGAGCTCACCCTTTTTTACCACAGAACTAGCTGCCTTCCAGCTTTCAGAAAGCCATCTCCATGTCATATTCATCCAGGAGTCTGGGGTGAGCTTTCTGTCAGTGCAGAAGTTGGGAGAAACTGCAGGTGTAATTTCATTAACTGCAGGAAAGTAATACCAGGGAAGAAACTAAAACTATAAGATGGAATCTTTGTTGTTGTTTGTTGTTGTTATCTACTTTGAGACCAAAATTAAGCTCTTTTTCATTGCCAGCCATTAAAGCGGTAAGAGATGGAAGAACACAGGGCTACATAGAGCCAGTCTTATGAAGGTGGACAGGTACCTAGTACAGTTTGCAAGTGTGAAAATGTAGGTAATGTAGCTAAGGGAGTGCTACAGCCAGCTTACCCTGGCTATGAAAACTTCACTAAAAACTGACAAGCCTTTAAGGGAAATGTCTTATTTGTAATCACCTGGTCCTATACTTAAAAACTCTTCTTATGAGCTAGGAGCTAGGATCCATATGAGGGTTAGGGAGTTTGTGAGAACAAGAGGTGACCTCTGTCCTTCCTCCTTCCCTTCAACCAGTGTCTCATGCTATGAAACAGGAAGTAGAGGTGAATAAACACATAGAATAGCACAATTGCATGCTAATGGGAAAAACATGTGCTATATGAGCCATTGAAGAAAAACTGTTCCCACCTTAAAAAGCCATTGGTGTTTGGACATATGAGTAGACATCAGGGAGAAGGCTACATTAAAATGCAGGCAAGTGGGTGGTCAGAGAGACATAAAGTTGTAAAACTGACTTAAACTTGCATAAACATCATAAAACACACAACAGGAGTCCCTCTGAAGAGAAGAGAGATGCCTGCTCTGTCCTGCTATTATTTAAGTATCCCCTAGGGTCTAGCATAACATCCTGCCTCTTTGCAAGGAGATCCAGGGAAGGGAAGTGTCACAAGTTTGCTGAAAACCCAGGGTATTGAAAGCAATGGGAACTCTGCCCGGCAGAGAACCCATTTTTTGGCCATGGGACACCATGCACCAACTCTGCTTATTAGACTCTGTGGTAGCATAACTGAGCTTTTTTGAGAGACTCCTTGATGCCATGATGATGATGATCTATGTTTGACAAGGTGGCTGGAAGTGCATATGGGAGAAGCTCAGTTTGTTCTCTAGAGCAACAGCTCCCCACCTTTTTCCCCATTAGATATCTGGATGTTTCCAAATGAGAAGCAAAGCTTAAGAGCTTAAGAAACGTAAGAGCTGGGGGGAGTCCGACACAACTATAAACAGAATTAATTTTCTTGTTAGGTTTTAGAGCCCTCTTAGAAGCTGTTCATAAACCTTCATGGCTCTTCAGAAATCGTGTGTTGAAACCTGTGTCTTTAGCAGCTTTCAAAGTATCTTGCAGAAAACTAAGGGTGAAATTCAGCCTTTCCTGTATGTGTCCATGAGAGGGCAGCACAGACCGGCGGAGCCTTCGCTAAAGGCTTTTAAGAGGCAGGATAACTTTATTCAGTTGCTCGCTAGCTCACCGTGATTTATGTCCGGCAGTGCAGCAGCTACAAGGAGAGAAAAAGTCCGTGTAAAAGGAAGTTTCCAGTTCTCAGGGAAGTTTCCAGTTAGCTACTGAAAGACTAAAAGAGAGTTTCAGAGGAAGTGCTTTGCACAGTACCTACAGTTCTGTCTACGCAATCAGTTGCTGTGAGATGCCAACCACTCCCTTGCCAAAGCAGAAGCCGTCAACCCAGGAACCCTATAAACTCACCCAAGGCATGCATGCTATTTATTTCCAACCCAGCTCTCCTAAGCACTGCACCAGCCAACACCCCTCTGAAATTACTCCGTGTTCCTACTGCTGAGACTCTTGCAATGCAGCTTTATCTCGACTGTCCTCCCTCTTCATTTTGGGTGCTCCAACCCTCTGCCAAGGTGGGTTGTGGAGATGTTGAGATAAATCAGATATAGGTTTGAAATACTTGAAGTACTTGGCTTACAGCAAGCACGCTGCAAGCAGGATAGTGACAGGGAACTGTAAGTAGATGGCAGTGCTCCACCGCCAGCCCACTACAGCCTCCCAAATCAG